CATGACTTGAGTTGAAGGGAGATACCTAACGAACTGAACTACCCAGGCACCCCTCTCAATGTATTTTAAACAAAATTATGAACATATAGTATGTGAAGTATCACATCCTGCTCTTTTCATGTAATTCTAAATTATAAGCATGTAAAAGATAAGATAAAATAAAATAAAAGCATGTTTTCTTATACTGGAAACACTTCTTGTTGAAAACCCCAGTAAATATCATGCCAGTTGGACTTTGTTTCTTCCTCCCTCCCTCCTTCCTTCCCTCCCTCCCACCTTTCCTCTCTTTCTGTCTTTCCCTTCCTTTTTCCTCGCTCCCTCCCTTCCTTCCTCCTTCCCTCCATCCATTTCTTTCTTTCTTTCTTTCTTTCTTTCTTTCTTTCTTTCTTTCTTTCTTTCTTTCTTTCTTTCTTTCTTTCTCCAGTAGGACTTACAAAGTTTGGAACCATTGAGGCCTGCAGGAAGGGTTAAAGATGAAGTTGTATGGGGCACCTGGGTGGCTCAGTCATTAGGCATCTGTCTTTGATTCAGCTAGGTCATGATCCCAAGGTCCTGGGATCCAGCCCCATGTAGGGCTCCTTGCTCAGTGGGGGAGCCTGCTTCTCCCTCTCCCACTCCTCCTGCTTATGTTCCCTCTCTAGCTGTCTCTCTTTCTGTCAAGTAAATAAATAAAATCTTAAAAAAAAAAAAAAGACGAAGCTGGAAAATCAGTTCAGGTGAGCCCAAAACCTAAGAGATAAAGCTTTGTGGACCTTATTCCTAAGATGGGGCGTGGGGGGGGGGCTGCTGCAGAACCGAACTGCATGGGTTTGAAGTGTAACCTCAGGGAAGCCTAAGGCGAGAAGGGCGATCTGGGGTCTTGTATCCAGATTGGAGATCACAGGAAATAGGATTTTAGAACTAGGACAGACATTAGCTATCATCTAATATAATAGGCTCATTTACAACTGCAGAAACTAAAGCCAGAGGAGACAAATTGACTTTTGTAGGCTCTGGAGTCAGAAGGCCTGGATTTGTCCCTCTTCTCTGCTACTTAGTAACACCGGACCATAAGTAGATGCCTTTACCCTCTCTGCTTCTCATTTTCCTCTATGAAAGGAAAATCCAGCATTTAACTTACATGCTTCTTGTGAGGATCAAATTAGATAATCTACAAAAAGCACTTAGCACAATACCTAACATATGATTAAAAACTCAATAAATGTTACTTTTTCATAGTACTGTAATTATTAGCATGATTGAACTAGCTAGTGACAGAGCTATGACAAGGTCCCAGATCTTCTGATGGAAGCTCGTGCTCTTCTCATGGTATTGAACTAACTTTCAGGGTCCAGAAAAGGTTGAAAGTTGCCTTGAACTTAGTTGGGGTAGCAACTCAAATCTACTTGGGGCTAAACCTGAAGACTTAAGTCTGGGGTCCACTTTATGTCAAAGCACCTAGCCCAGTGTCTGGAAAACAGTACGCTTTTTTTTTTTTTTAAGATTTTATTTATTTGACAGAAAAAGAAAGAGAGAGCACAAGCAGGGGGAGCTGCAGAGGAAGAGAGAGAAGCAGACTCCCTGATTAGCAGGGAGCCTGCCACTCCATAGGACTCGGGGCTCTGCCCCAGGAGCCTGGCTGGATCCCAGGACCCCAGCTCAATCCCAGGACCAGGGGATCATGACCTGAGCCGAAGGCAGACACTTTACCGACTGAGCCACCCAGGCACCCCTATGACAGTAGGCTCTTAAGAAAGGTTTGTTAACTGAGAAGTCTCTTAAAACAATGACAGGGTTGGGAGGGTGGCGCTGGCTTCTAAGAGAGGCTTCTAAGGCTTCTAAGAGGACTAGAAGTCGTTCACAGAGTCACATAAAGAAGGACTTAGGGAAAAGGGCTACCAAAACTATGTACATTCCATGCATGTCTGCGAAGACCAGAGACAAGTAGAGGTGGTGCTCTCTGAGATTCCTGGAACAATCTCGTTGTCACTTTTATTAACCCTTTCATCTTTCCCCATTTACTAGCAAAAACTCCTATATAAACCTGAGGTGGGGGGGTGGGTGATTTTTCAGAGCTGGGCAGGATAAGAAAAAAGTGGCAAAATATCTATCCTGATTCAAATTAATAAAGCCGATTTGGCAACAGGGTTGGGGGGTGGCACCCAGGTAGAAAAGTGGGTGGTGGCAGTGAAGGAGGCAAGAGAGTCAGACCCCCCCTCTATGATCTTGAGGAAGGAAAAAAAAAAAGAAACAAATCGTGAATGGGAAGCCAGTTGAGACCATGAACTCTGAGGTTGCAACTGGGGAAAAGGCCTGCCCCCCCCACCCCACCCATATCCTGCCATATCTGTTCATAAGTTATTACTATGGTGGTTTTGGGGGGTCCTCCAGTTAGTCCTCTTCTCTGACCAATGCCCTTTCTATTTTCTGAGGCAACCTGGCTAACTCTGTCCCTTGACTAATGTATATTCTAAGACACCCACAGTAATAAGGTGAATAACCTTGACCTCTCCAGATACGTGTTTTCAAGTAGCAGTGTTTTTACTATTCCACAGATCCTTTAACTCACCCTCGTAAGTCATCTCCTATAGATTATGGTCATTTTCATCTTTCCAGGATTTCAAGGTATACTCTCATCCCAACACTAAAGACTCAGTAAGTATTTGTTGATTGATTTCAGAGTTTATAATCTAGCTGGGGACATAATACACCCTCACGAAACCGCAAGCCCAAAATTAAAGAATATAAACTGAGTTCACAGAGGTTCAAGAGACGGAAAGCAGATGAGTGATCTGTGAGGTTGGGCTAGGCAGGGAGAGCTTCCAAGAGCACCTCAGTTTTGAGCTTTGAATTGGAAATTCAAGGAGGTGATGGACACGAGTTGGTGGAGAGGTGGACCTTTTGAAAGAAACGCACAAGGGAGACAATGCAAGATATCATTCAAGCGAGGACAGGTGCCCGCCCCACCCTGTCATTTCCCTGTCTCAGCAGCTCTGCGGGATCAGCACATATCAAACCACACTGCTAGGCACTACACAGAAGAGTTAAATTATAGTCCCTGCCCCTAGGAGTTTGCTGTGGTTTTTTTTTTTTTTAGGATTTTATTTATTTATTTATTTGACAGACAGAGATCACAAGTAGGCAGAGAGGCAGGCAGAGAGAGACGAGAAGCAGGCTCCCCGCTGAGCAGAGAGCCCGATGCAGGACTCGATTCCAGGACCCTGGGATCATGACCTGAGCCGGAGGCAGAGGCTTTAACCCACTGAGCCACCCAGGTGCCCAGGAGTTTGCTGTCTTAACAAGAAAACTGAGACACAGCTGGACAGAAAGTCCCAACGATACATTAAAAAGTTGTTCAAATGTACGAATGTAATGCCCTTCAGTTCCTGGTCTCATTCATTCTACCAGAATTTCTCGAATGGGACCTTGGACTGGGGTCACTGAGATACATAAACCTTGCCTCCATCCTAAAGGAGTTCCGTTGAGTGAAGGAGATATACATGTAAAGAAATCGTTACTGTACCATATGGATTATGCTGTAAAACACACAAAGTACTTGGAAATGCAGAAAAGGTAGAAGTCCACCTAAGGGGAACAAGAAAGGTTGAATAGGGATTTTCCAAAATAAGAGACTTGGGGAGGGGATGATGAGAGGGAGGACATCCCAGGAGGTGGAGGGAACAGTAGAAAAGGACAAGCATTTCTGGGTAATAGTATACAAAACCCTGACTGGTTGGAACTTAGTGTGCCTAGTGAACGATGAAGCAGGGAAGGTGGGAAGTGGCCTGAACCTGAAGAAACGTGTGTACCTTGCTAGAGAGTTTGAACTTTATCACATAGGCAATAGGGAAAAATCAAAGGACGCATCAAGCAGGGAAATCCTCTGGTCACGTTTGAGTGCCATGATCTCAGTTCTCCTGCCTCCTGGCTGTGACTCTGGGAACGGCACTGAATTTCCAAGCATTCGTGTTTTCTTGTACAAAATGGGGTTGAGAGCAGTACCTAGCTTACACGGTTGATTTGAGGTGCACATGAGCTAATGTATGTAAAGCAATCAGCGCTGCGCCGCGCACATAATAAGTGCCCCTATACATTTTAGCTATTATTACCGGGAGTGTTTCTTAGAAGGATAACTTTTGTTGGCAGCAAGCATGGAACATAAACTACAGTGGGGGAAAAGACTGATGGCAGAAGGTCCGATTAAGATGATATTGCAATTTAATCCAGCGACAATTAAGGTCTGGAAGTGGGATCTGCACGGGTAAGTTAAAGAGATGAAAAGGTGAGACGGAAGTCTATCTTGGAACACTGGGCAGATCAGGACAAGTGTTAACCAACTTCAGAGATAAGAGTAGCCAGAGTATAGGGGTGTGGGTGCAAGAGCAGTAAAGCGTTCCGTTTGGGACCTGTTGAATGAGAAGTGAAGCCGCCCAAGATGGGAACCTGCAGAATATCAGTATTTCAGGGGAGGCCAGAAGAGCCAGTGGAGAAAAAGGATCGGTCAACGATCACACTGTCACCGTGAATTGCATACGGGGGTGTGTGGGGAGGAGGGTAGAGGAGACACTATCGCCAGCATTTGTTTAAGTTGCACTAGTCCTTCACCCAACTACCGAACAAGCATACAGCCCATTTTCTGGTCCGTTCTCTGCTTCTTGCCTCTGGGCCTTCTGATTCTTGTAGAGAACGCATTTTTTTCTCCTCCTGCCCTCTGTTCACGGAAAGAGGGAAAGGTCTAGCGCCTCGCAACACGGTCACTTAGGCCACCCGGAGTCACACGGGAGGAGGTGGGAAGGGGGGGGGGAGGAGGAAAATGACTTTTAAAGAAAAGAAAAAGTCCGCGACGACCTCTAATAATTAAGGTTCCACCTCCCTATATCCTGCCACGCCGCTCTCCAGCCGCCCTTATCAGGCTCCTGGCCGCGAAGTAAGACGGGAAATGTAGTCCCCTAAGGCTGACCAGGGTGGCACGACTGAAGAACTCGGTTTCCCAATCGGCTCTCGAGGCGCGTGCGCAGATGGCTGCCCGGGCGAGTGGTAAACAGAGACGTCAGGCGGGGGCTGCTGCTCCGAGCAAAACAAAAAGGGAACCGGGGGGGGGGGGGGGGGCTGATTGGGGAATTGGTGCGGGAGAGAGGCTGGGGCCGCGGGGCCGCGGGCCCTATTAAGAGGGGAGGGCAGGGAAGAGGCGGGGGGAGGGGCAGCTAGGGGAGGGGCGAGTGACGCGGGGGAGCGGGGCGTTGGGGAGGGCAGTGATCCGGGTGGAGGAAATTTGGGAGGAGTGTCCGGGGGGCAGCAACTTAAAAGGGGGAGGGAACTGCGGCTTAGGAGACGTTCGGTGATGGGAGCGCAATGTATGAGGGGATACGGTGCCTCAGGTTTAAAAGAGCAGGAAGCTGAGAGGTTGGAGAAAAAGTGTCTTCGCTAGGCGGAGGTTACAGGTGGTGCCTCGGAAAGAGCTCCGAGGCTGTCCGCTTGTAGTCGAGAAGACGATCGGAGAACTGTGTGGAAGGGACAGCTTGGGGGCTAGCGTCCTGGGGCGAGGGGGGGAAGTTCGCGACTTTCTGAGGACTGGCAGGAATGTGCCTCCTGGCCCTCGGTGCTTCCCCCCTGGGGGGGAGGCATCGCGAGGGACGGTGGCAGACTCCTCTGAACGCTGAGCGGCGGAGGTCCAACTCCACGTATGGATCCAAGGAATGAGAATTCAGCCACAGAGGCTGCCGCGATTATAGACCTCGATCCCGACTTCGAACCCCAGAGCCGTCCTCGCTCCTGCACCTGGCCCCTTCCCCGACCGGAGATCCCTACTGAGACAGCTGAGCCGCCTGAGCCGCCCGAGGTGGAGCCAGGTCTGGGAGACAAGGTACTCACGGAGGGGCACTCAGAGCCGACCCTGTTGCCCTCCCAGCTCCCAGAGCCGGCAGGGGGCCCCCAGCCCGGGATCCTGGGGGCTGTAACAGGTCCTCGGAAGGGAGGCTCCCGCCGGAATGCCTGGGGAAATCAGTCATATGCAGAACTCATCAGCCAGGCCATTGAAAGCGCCCCCGAGAAGCGACTGACACTCGCCCAGATCTATGAGTGGATGGTCCGCACTGTGCCCTACTTCAAGGACAAGGGTGACAGCAACAGCTCCGCAGGATGGAAGGTAACTATGACCCCCTTACCTCGGTCCCAATACCTAATCTGCCCCTGGGCCCCCTAGCCTCCTTACTGCCATTCTGGGGCCCCTTTTATGACCCCACCCCAGGGAGCCACCTTCAAATCCTCAATTACACAAACATTTACTTAGGACATAGTATATGCCGCTGCTCAGGGCTTGATGCTGGAGGATCGCAGATGAATAAGACACTGTCCTGGCCTTGGAGAAAATTGAATTCTCTGCTCGCTGCTCAACACTTCCAGCACTTTGGCTTGAGCTGCCCCAGACACTTATTCCCACAGAGAAGTCTTTATCCTATGTACAGCAGGAACTGTGTGGATTCCCCACATGAACCTAGCCTTCCCTCCTCCCCCACCTCCCACCCCAACACCTTTTCTCCCATTCCTGTGGGATTACCTGGATTCCCCGATTGCCTCTCAATACCTCAGGGTAGAGATACTGTTGTAGAGTGCCTCTACCCAAGAAGAGGGGGTTGAGTGGCCTAGGTGAAAAAGGTGATACTCATGAGGTAAAGTGGCTGCTCTTACAGACCAGGAGGGAATAAAAAAGGGCCATGAGCGGCTACCTGCCTTGGTTTACCCCATAGTGCTAGGAAACTCTCCCTAGTAAGGGGCTATCTAAGTCTGGGGTGGCGGGGGCGGGAGGGAGATTTTTCATTTACCGTTGAGGAATAATAGTTATGAAAAAAAAAGATAGGGTCCTGACCTGAGAGCACAAGGTTGGGCGTTCGCTTGACCTTCCACAAAGAAACTGTGAGGAAAGATCTTGCTAGATGCTCTGAAAACTTGTCCGGAGGAATATGGGACTCTTAATCATGAAATGGGGAGCTTTGGCCCCTTGGCATCTTGCACCCCCATATGTGGTGAGATCAGCGTACAAGGAAGTAGAGAAGGTTGAATGAGCAGAGGGTCTTCCCCTAGGTATAGGAGATCGAGGGATCAGATCTGCACTATCCCTAGGAAATGGGCTGGACACAAAACAGGACAGCTGAGACCCTTGGCACTATTTCTGGGTAGACTGCCACGCCACAGTCTCAGCTCCTAAAGAGCTCCCCTCCTTGGACCCAGCCTACACAGCTGTTTTTTCTTTTCCCTTAGGTTCATTTTCCCGGGTAGAAGAAATAATCATGAGTTGTTAGTTATGCTGTGGGAGTGTAGTCCTTCCTTATAACGTTCACTGATTGGCGGATTTTTAGTTTACAAAGTAGTTTTTACGGTTTTTTTTGTTTGTTTTATTAATCTTCACAGCAGTTCTGAGATTCCACATTTTACATATGGGGAAACTAAGGTATAGAAAGGTCAGGAAACTTGCCCGATATCAGTAGAGCAAGGACCTGAACTCAGGTCTAACTAGAAATCATAGCGTCTTTCTGCTAGTCCGTGAGGCCCAAATTCTCTTCATTGGAATAATGGCAAAGCCAAATCAGGCTGAGGTTGGGGCCTCCCAGCCTCTGACCCCCCCCCCACCACCTCCCCACCCCAAGGGGTAAGCCTCAGGGCCTGAACTGGCTCCTCTGGTGATGTGCCAAGATTACTCCAAGCCCACCAGGGGGTGGCCCTCACTTAGAACAAGAAAGCTTTGTTTAGGTGGCTTGGGGGAACAATTAGGAGTCACCCCCCTCAACCCCACTTCCAACAGGTAAGAATTCTAGGCTTCTAGGGAGCTGACCTCTCCAGGTAGGAGGATGTACTGTGGACTAGTTCTGAGGTCTAAAGAAGAGGGGTTAAACAAATGGGTCTCATGGGTACCGAGTGTAGAGAGAGGAATGGATCTTCTCAATAGAGCCACAGCTGAAGGACGAAAAGGGGGGAGGTCCCAGTGCCAGAAGTCACGGGGGGTGCTCGGTTACTGAGGCTGGACGGTTAATGTCTAGATGGACAAGTGTCTGTTCCTTCAAGGAACGAGGAGTACCAGTGCAGCCGAGGTAGTAGCCGTTCCTGAAGTGTCCCAGAGAGACAAGGAGTTCTTTGGCTACAGAACTCTGGAACATGAAGCTACTTCAGCATCTCTCCCCAGGCAGAGGGTCTCCTTATCTGGAGCACCAGTCAGAGCCTCAGCCTCTAGTAGCTCCAAGCCCTTCTGGGCTCCTCCCAAGTTTCTAAACACCAAAGAGCTCCATGTGGGAGGTCAAATGCCCCTAAGGTTGGAGATCTTAAGCAAAAATTCCTGAGGAGAAGTAGGGGAAAGGAGGTGGGACAGAGAAGGAAGGTTGGGGGGGGGGCACAAAAGGATGGTGTAACTAGCCTGGGGCAACCAGTAGAAAGAAGCTGCTCTGGGGGCTCAAGAAGCTGCCAATCTCGGCTCCCTGGGCCCCTGGGAAAAAAAAAAAACTTTATCTCTAGCAGAATATCAGCAGTGAGGGAGGAAGGGAGAACAGAGGGGAGGAAAGGAGGGAGGGAGAAGGTGCTTCCAATACCCAAGGTGCTCCAAAGCTGATAGAGCCTTAAGGGGAGGCTCACTATTGTCACCCAAGGGCCACCCTCCAATAAGGCAACAAGGTGCTGATTATGTGCTGGGAACCTGGCACTCCGAGCACACGCTGTTGAGGGCTGCCGGACTGGACAACATGATCTGTGCCGCTGGCGCATATACTCCATGAGACTAATTATGTGAAATTGAAAATAATACAATATAGGTTGGGTAAGGTTGTGGGGAACAGATTAAAAATACCATGTGAGAGATTTGGCTGCAGAAGCCAAGCAACCACTTAACAGAAGAGAGGGGACTTATATTTGGCCTGAAGGAACGAGCAGAATTTACAGAAGGGAGATCCTTCCTGGGACGAGGAGGGAGGGAGAAGGGAACGTGCCTTGCCTGGCCTGAATGTAGTTGAGCCCATCTGCCCAAGGACTGGGAGGAATGAGAAAAAAAAAGGGGGGGGGGAGGATCTTCAAATCCTATGGAGAGCTGGGGCTCAAATGCCCCATGGGAAGTAGAGCGACCGCTCCCCTGGGGTTCCAGCCCGTCAGCCTATTCAGAGAACTGGCTCAAGATGGCTGGAGACAGGGTGGGTCAGTCTTGGGCTGGTGTTAGGCCACTGTCCCGGAACTCCAAATGAGCCTACACTCAAGGAAAGAGGTTGTAGCCGTGGAGTTCTTTCCCATCTAATCCCAGTTCTTGCGGAATCAGGAGCATGTCTCCCCAGTAAATGCCCACCAGTGCCAGACAGCTCCCCCAGAGACCTGGGAGGAATGCAGTGCTGTGAGCTTTTCCAGAGCGGGCCCAGTGCCCTCAGCAGTAGGTTGTTAACTCAGCTTGTCTCCTGGGCCCTTGTGCAGCGAAGTCCGGAGCAGCAAAGGCCGAACATCTTGTCTTTGGGTGGGAACTGTGTATGGTCTCCCAGCCCCCCCTCATTCCCCCACCCCCATCCCTACCTTTGCTTGCTTCCACCCCCCCCCTTGCCGCGGGGTTGATAGCTCTGGGTTTCCAGGAATGCCCCTGCTCTGTCCCAGCGTGCTTTGAGGCGGAGCCGCTGGCCACTGGCCTCCCTGCACGTACCTCATGCCCCCTTTCCCACTGCCTCTGCCCCCTCCAGAACTCCATCCGCCACAACCTGTCCCTGCACAGCAAGTTCATCAAGGTTCACAATGAGGCTACTGGCAAGAGCTCCTGGTGGATGCTGAATCCTGAAGGAGGCAAGAGCGGCAAGGCTCCCCGCCGCCGGGCAGCCTCCATGGATAGCAGCAGCAAGCTGCTTCGGGGCCGCAGCAAGGCCCCCAAGAAGAAACCTGCCGTGCTGCCAGCTCCACCTGAAGGTGCCACTCCAACAAGCCCGGTCGGCCACTTCGCCAAGTGGTCAGGGAGCCCTTGCTCGCGAAACCGTGAAGAAGCCGACGTGTGGACCACCTTCCGTCCACGAAGCAGTTCCAACGCCAGCACCGTCAGCACTCGGCACTCCCCCATGAGGCCAGAGTCCGAGGTGCTTGCGGAGGGGGAGATGCCAGCCTCAGTTAGCAGCTATGCCGGAGGTGTCCCTCCCACCCTAAATGAAGATCTCGAGCTGTTAGATGGGCTCAATCTCACATCGTCCCATTCCCTGCTCTCTCGGAGTAGTCTCTCTGGCTTCTCTTTGCAGCATCCTGGGGGGACGGGGCCCTTGCACACCTACAGCACCTCCCTCTTCAGCCCAGCAGAGGGGCCCCTGGCAGCTGGAGAAGGGTGCTTCGCAAGCTCCCAGTCTCTGGAGGCCCTGCTCACCTCCGATACACCACCACCCCCCTCTGATGTGCTCATGACCCAGGTAGACCCCATTCTGTCCCAGGCTCCGACACTTCTGCTTCTGGGGGGGGCTGCCTTCCTCCAGCAAGCTAGCCACGGGAGTCGGCCTCTGTCCCAAGCCACTAGAGGCCCCGGGCCCCAGTGGTCTGGTTCCCACCCTGTCTATGATAGCACCACCTTCAGTCATGGCAGGGGCTCCCATCCCCAAACCGCTGGGGGCTCCTGTGCTCACACCCAGTACTGAAGCTGCAGGCCAAGATCGAATGCCTCAGGATCTAGATCTTGACATGTATATGGAGAACCTGGAGTGCGACATGGATAACATCATCAGCGACCTCATGGATGGGGGCGAGGGACTGGACTTCAACTTCGAGCCAGGTAGGACACCTCTTCGTCCACAGTAGCATCTCATGGGCTACAGCCACTCCTAGGTGCCCAGCTTGTGCCATGATCTAAGCCAGAGGGGGCCTTAGGACAGGTTGGTGGGGGTGGGGTGGCGGGAGCCCCTGGGGAATGGGAGGGAGGGTGTCCTATGAGAGGGGGCACCCCTCAGCAGTGCCCACCCCTAGCAGCAGCGCAGGAGAGATGGGGGAAGGGCTGTCTCTTTGTTTTTTTTTTTTGGGGGGGGGGTGGACCTTAATGGTGGAGAGTTGTCATGCCCCAGATGACCCTCTTACCTTGTCTCCCATCTCTCCTTCCCACAGATCCCTGAGCCATGGCTGGAAGCTTTGTCCTCCCCTGCTTCGGTGGTGGGGCCAGGCGTGCCTCTTTAGCCACTCTTTACCCTTGACCCCTCCCTGGGAATTCGGGACCCTGCTTTAGAGCTAGGGTGGGGTCTGCTCCCTTGGGTGTTGAGGAAATTACAAAGATAAACCTGCCCCATATGGGAACTATGGAGGGAGGGAGGGAAGGGGGTGGGGGAAAGGGAAAGGGTTTCTTCTCACTGTGCCAATTAGGGGGTGAGGCCCCCTCTTGGGAGCCATCCTTGGCTCCCTCCATTCCCACCCCGCTAGGTTTTACATCAGGGGTGGGCAATGCTGTTGGAAATGTGAAGTCACCAGTGGCCTTACCCCTGCCTTTGGGAGCAGGATCTTTTGTAGTCTTATCTGAGCTGGTCCAGGCTGGCTTAAGCCTGGGATTTTTATTCAGTGGCCCCCTAGGCCAGTGGGGTGGGGTGGGTAGGGTGGGTTAGTAGGGACCTGGAAGGGCCAAGGTTTGAGCACCGGAGGGGCTCACTGGGCCAAATCACCCTTGGAAGGCTGCAGATAACAGAAAGGCTTTTTGTAAACTTTTAAAGACATATAAACACAAATATAGAGGTTTTTAACAGTGGCAAGGTGCTAGTGATGGGAAGAATGCTTTTTTTTTCTTTCTGAAGGCTTTGTCATAGTGACACGATGCAAACACTACAGACATTACTTGGGGAAACACAGGAAGTGGCGGGGGGAGAGCTCCAGGCTGCCACAGAGCAGAGGGGCAGGGGTGCAGCAGTGGACAGCAGTACCCATCGAGGGGAAAGTTCTGGGAGATGCTCAGAACAAGGTCTGCGTGTACCTGGCTTAGAGATTCCCTGTGGAAAAGGCTAAGCCAGGCCCCCTTGTTCAACTTGTGTCTGGGAGTGTGTGGTGTTGGGGGCGCAGTCATACTCCAGCATGACCCACTGCTGATTAGCCCTATGGTGGGAGAGTGCATGGAAGGCCTGGAATTAGTTTGTGGCCTGGAAAGGGGTGGGAGGGGTGGGGGAGAAGAGGAGGGAAGGATTTAGGGTGGTAAAGTTAGGCACAGAGACCTCCCTGTTCCAGGCCCCTGACAGCTGTCCCTGCCCTTCTTCCCCTTGCCTGACTACAGGGGTTATGTGGAAGTGTGTGCGGTGGCAGGCAGGGGTGGGGGGGTGGAACAGGGAATGGGGAGCTGGGGAGCTTGGCTGAGGGTCTGGGAAATGAGCAGGGATGGAGGGGAATGTGGATCAGGTTTACTAGCACCTGCCAGGGTGGCCATCTGGGCCTCCTTCTCCACCCCAGCCCCCAAAGCAGCCCCTCCCCCAGTCCCCTTTGCATTGTCCCCTCCCCCACCCCTGCTGTGGGTTCCCATCATTTCCTGTGTCAGCGCCTGGCCTACCCAGATTGTATCATGTGCTAGATTGGAGTGGGGAAGTGTGTCAAATCAATAAATGAATAAATTCAATAAATGCCTATAACCAGCTCTGGTTTCTGCTGCCTTGGTGCTCCCCTCGGATAAGGGGGAGGGTGGG